CTGGTGTATTCCGCTACGCACGCCGAGCATGTGTCCCTGGTTCGCAAGGTACTGGTCCGACTATTTGAGAATGATCTTTATGGCAAGGCAGAGAAGTGTGGGTTTTTCCAGCAGTCAATCTCCTTCCTCGGATACCGCATTACTACCACAGGTGTGGAGATGGAGGAAGATCGCATTTCAGCCGTGCGTATTTGGCCGACTCCAACCACGGTGAAGGAGGTGCAGCGCTTCCTTGGCTCTGTCAACTACTATCAGAGGTTTATTCGGGGCTTTGGCAAGGTCGCAGCTCCCATTACCTCCTTGTTGAAGGGTGGGCCGTCCCGGCTCTGCTGGTCTGCTGAGGCTGATTTGGCCTTCAGTAGATTGCGGGGTCTGTTCACCTCAGCCCCGGTACTGGCTCACCCCGAATCATCACTACTGTTCATAGTGGAGGTGGATGCGTCCGAGGTAGGAATAGGCGCTGTCTTATCCCAACGCTCGGGCACGCCACCCAAGCTCCGCCCCTGTGCCTTCTTTTCGAAGAAGCTCAGCTTGGCGGAGCAGAACTACGGCGTTGGTGATCGGGAGCTGCTGGCTGTTGTCCGAGCTTTGACGGTGTGGAGGCATTTGCTCGAAGGGGCGAAACACCCTTTCCTCGTCTGGACAGACCACCATAACCTGGAATACATTCGGGCAGCAAGGAGGCTGAATCCTCGCCAGGCCAGGTGGGCCCTCTTCTTCACCCGGTTTGATTTCACACTCTCATACATTCCAGGTACGAAGAATGTGAAGGCAGACGCACTGTCTCGGCTGTATGACACAGAGGAGAGGCCCAGAGACAACACCCCCATTCACCCGGCCTCATGCATTGTGGCGCCGGTAGTATGGCCGATGGACGCGGATATAGAGCAGGCATTACGCACAGATCCATCTCCACCGCAGTGTCCAGCTGGGCTGCAGTACGTGCCTGCGCCTATCCGTGATCGTCTGATCTACTGGGCACACACAACACCCTCCTCTGGTCATCCAGGTATCGGTCGTACAATGCGCTGCCTGACCGAGAAATACTGGTGGCCTACCTTGGCTAAGGACGTGAGGGTGTATGTTTCCTCCTGCTCAGTGTGCGCCCAGAGTAAGGCACCTAGGCACCTCCCAGCGGGTAAGCTACAACCTTTACCAGTTCCACAACGACCATGGTCTCACCTTAGTATTGATTTTCTTACTGATCTTCCCCTCTCCCAAGGTAACACCACTATCGTGGTCGTTGTGGATCGCTTTTCGAAGTCCTTCCGCCTCCTTCCTCTGCCCGGTCTCCCTACGGCCCTGCAGACTGCGGAGGCCCTGTTTACTCACATCTTCCGGCACTACGGGGTACCAGAGGATATAGTGTCCGACCGAGGTCCCCAGTTCACGTCTAGTGTCTGGAAGGCGTTCATGGAACGTCTGGGGGTCTCGGTCAGCCTGACCTCTGGATTTCACCCCAAGAGTAATGGGCAGGTGGAAAGGGTGAATCAAGATGTGGGTATGTTCCTGCGGACCTACTGTCAGGACCGGCCGGGGGAGTGGGCAGAATACGCTCAGAACTCTCTCCGTCACTCCTCCACTAACACCCTTCCAATGTGTTTTGGGTTACCAACCGGTCCTGGCACCGTGGCACCAGAGCCAGACCGAGGCTCCTGCGGTGGATGACTGGTTTCGGCGCGCGGAGGAGACTTGGGATGCTGCCCACGTTCGCCTCCAGCGCGCCGTGCGTTGTGAGAAGGCGAACGCTGACCGCCATCGCAGGGAGGCCCCGGTTTTTGTACCGGGGGATCGGGTCTGGCTCTCGACCCAGAATCTACCCCTCCGCCTGCCCTGCTGGAAGCTGAGCCCGCGGTTTGTGGGGCCGTTTAAAGTCCTGAGGAGGATAAATGAGGTTACAAACAGGTTGTTCCTCCCCCTGATTACTGTATTAACCCCTCGTTTCATGTGTCTCTTCTCAGGCCGGTGGTAGATGGTCCGCTCCAGGAGTCTGAGGTGCGGGAGGTTCCTCCACCTCCTCTGGACATCGAGGGGGCCCCGGCGTCCTCGGTCCGTTCCATACTGGATTCGAGGCGTCCGGTGGGGGGCCTTCAGTATCTCATGGAGTGGGAGGGGTACGGTCCGGAGGAACGGTGCTGGGTCCCAAGGAGGGACATCCTCGATCCCTCCCTGTTGAGGGATTTCCACCGTCGCCATCTGACTCGCCCTGCTAAGCGTCCTCCTGGCCGTCCCTGAGGCCGGGGTCGGCGCACTGCTGGAGCTGCGAGTCAAGGGGGGGGTTCTGTCACGACTTCCGCCGAGGCTGCCTCCCCTCCTTGTTCGGGCAGGTTTCGGCGTTTGCCGTCACCGGCTTACTAGCTACTGCCGATCCCATTCTCATCACTCCACTTGTCATGTCTTGTCTTGTCAATCACACACACCTGGTGCTCATTCCCCTAATTAGTATGTGTATAAGTGTTCCCTCTGTTCCCCTTGTCTTTGTGAGTGATTGTTTCATTGTGAGAGCGAGGATCTCGGTTGAGCTACTCTTCCATTTGTTATTGCCAAGGTGGAATATTTTCCCTTGTGATAATTTCGTTTTGACGCTGGGTGCGTTTTATTTATGTGAACGGAATAAACTCTGGACTTCTGTGTTTTACCTCCTGTGCCTGACTCCTTCATCACACCTCGTCACAAAAAATGCACCCATAGGGCCCTGGTCAAAAGTAGTGCACTAATAGGAAGGGGGGTTTGCCTTTCTCTGGTCAAAAGTGGCACAAATAGGGAAAGGGTTGCCATTCTCTGGTCAAAAGTATTTGCACAATGGGAATGGGTGCCTTTCCTGGAAAAAAGTAAGCCACTACATGGGGAAATGGGGGGGTTGCCTTCTTGGTCTAAAGTAGTGCACTACATGGGGAAAAGGGGTTTGCCATTTCTTTAAATAGTGCACTAAATAGGTAATGGGGTGCCATTTCGGGGTCTAAAGTAGGCACTACATAGGGAATAGTTTGCCATTTCTGGTCAAAGTAGGCACAAAGGGAAAGGGGTATTCTTGGTTTCTAAGAAAGGCATATATAGGGAATAGGGTGCCATTATCGGGGGAAAGTAGGGGAAATAAATGGATAGGGTGCCATTCTCTGGCAAAAGTAGGCACTCATAGGGAATGGGGTTTTGCCTTTTCCTGGTTAAAGTAGTGCCTAATGGGGAAAATAGGGGCGTTTGGGACGCAAGCCCATATTTAAATAATTAATCGGGTTGAGTGCACAAAACCCTGAGATTTGTCTCATCTGTCTAGAAAAATTTACTTCTGATTTCACAGTACAAAAGATGGCAGACAAGGTTCACGGGTCGTTTCAAAAGAAATTTCATGTCAACCCCCTATAGTACCCCTGTTAAGACGAAAGACTACCCAAATGCCTCCCTTTTTTTTATTAAATAATGGATATTTTAAAAATGCAGGATACAGCTCAGGGCCCGTCCCGGTATTTTGACCCTTTTTTCTGTTGTGGTATTGCATGGGGGGGGACTAACCCCATAGCGATGACCCCAAATGCCTCAGCTAAATTAAAACGATTTTTTGGGACTGGAGCATAACTAAGATCACGGGGGGAAGCAAATCAGGGCCCTGT